TATGTTAGGAGTGTACTTTAGAATGTTAAAGTAAAACCATTTCATCATTTGAATGGTTAAATTACGTCTCTATTGGTAAAATTGGATGATTTGAAACCTTAACTTGATGAATAGTTGTATCATAACTTGAATGACTTGTACATTAGCTTCTTGATATGTTGATAAAATTAAATCCATAAATTCCAAGTCATATATTTATTAATTGAGCTAATAGGTCAATTCATGTGTCGATTACAAGGATAATATTGAGTTTTGTGAATGAAATTGGTGATTCCAATGGTAACACATCATTTTAAATGGAATGAAATGGTTTTAAACCAAATTAATCTTCAAAAACCTCTTTAGAAAACAAGCAAATGAAATGAAATGCTTTGAATAAAGATTTATTGTAAGTTTTGAAAAAACTTAAAAAGGTTTTAAATGAATATATACACTCTTTGTACGATTGGAAACCTTGTAACTCTTTAAATGTACTTAGAATCATATAATTCATATTTTGAATTAAGATTATGATGTGTATGCGATGTCAGAACTATATTAAGACAAATTAATGTTGATCATTTTTCGTTAAGAAGATAAGCTAGAAATTTTATGGAAGTTATTGATGGCTTAAGGCTTGATGTGGTTAATTGATGTTTTCATGTGTTTCTCCTTGGAATCCATGAGTCATTAAGACATTTGAGCATTAATACATGAATGAAATAAGGGTTATATGAGTATGATTAGAAGTGTTTAAGACTTTTTATACTATATAACATAAATTGGAAATTACTTAAGATTAAATAAAGTGAGGTTTTATAGCTTAAAAATAAAAATTGCATGTACTAGAGTCCCAAAATGCTAATCAAGAGTTATAGGACTCTAAACTCCTTAACTTCCCTAGTTAATAAAGGCGTCCTATATGAGCACAAAGTCCCAAGACGCTATATGGAACACTAATTAGAGTCTTAGGACGCTATGTGGGACGTTGAAGGAATATAAGTTTGTTTTCTTTCTTAGTACTTCTTAAATGGCAGGAAAATATTGTAATAAGATATTGAGGACTATAAGATATGCTTTGGGATGATTTTAAGTGTTGATAAACGATATTTATGCTATTATAGGTGATTATTAAGGGGGAAATGACATAAATGCCCTCAAATTTTCAAGTTTTTGTCAGTTTTACCCTTGGTGTTTTTTTATGTCAATTAAAGCCTAACATTTGAATAAGTTTTGTCATAATTAACTTTTATCAAGTTTCCAATTGGCTTGCCGGTCACCATTGCCAACGTGTATGTTACGTCACCTTAACTCCCCCAATACCCCCCCGTTATCCTCTAAATTGACAAGCAACAACAAAAGTCGCAGCACCCATGTAATCGAGCGTCTGCACATAGTTGATCAACAAGAAAATTAGAAAGATGGGGATGAATTGTTTCTTTGGATTGATCGTCGGCCCCTAGTACTTCTCCAGATCGAGCGTTGCACATAGTATATGTGTATGTTTTTGTTTTTCTTTCGATCGTTCCAAAATCACAGACTAACGCCGCCATCTGTTTCTTCTTCGACGCCCCTTTCTTCACCGACCTTGATAAACTTGGCTAGGGCTATTAATCGGATCTGTAATAACACACAAACCGTCACAAACAATTCTTTCGGTTTTCTTTATTTATTGTGTATTTCTATGTCTTTGTGTGTTTTTCTTGTTGAAATCAGACATGGGAGGAAATACACACACATGGGAGATACAGAGAGAAAGGGATTGTGATGTTGGGTTATGAAGAAGGAGGTTGTAAGATTTGCCATTTATGTCCCATTAATGCAGACAGAGGTCTCACCGGAGAAGACACATCCCCCTGTCTCCGATTGCACACATCTCATGTAACACCGTAAATTTTCAAACAATTTTTCATTAAAAATCACATGAATCTCGTAATGCATTTCACAAAAATCTCATTTAAGTTTACAATTCAAACTCCATAATTGGTTTAGTAAAAACCCAGGATCTTCAAAAACCTAATTCCTTCTCTTGTGTGTACAATCAAGCCGGTGCCTTCCCGCGATTCCTGAGAACAACCTGAAACACATAACACATAACACGGTAAGCACGAAGCTTAGTGAGTTCCCCAAAATACCACATAAAGCACATATTAGCCACTCGAGGCTATAACTCTATGGACTCTCTGGTCCTAACTCTGTGGACCCTCTGGCCCTAACTCTTTAGACCTTCCGGTCCTAACTCTGTAGCTCTGGAACACATACACAACATAAATCACATAGAAATAATGCAGTGCATCACATCAGATAAATAGCATACAAGATACTCTGTCACATAACTCTAATTACCACTCTAGGTAAAGTATAGTGAGAAGACTCACCTGACAAGCAGCAAGTAAATACCCTCGCACCCGAAACTCGAACTAGCCTCCGCCTAGCACAAAAGATGAATATCTCTAATCAATACTCTTTACACGACCCTAATAAATGAGGGCTATTCTTCTCTCTCTAACTCTTGAATTGGGTAAAAGACCATTTTACCCCTCCATGGTCTCCATTACTCATGTTGACCAAACCCCAGAGTCAACAGAAGTCAAACTCGAGTCAACAGTCCATGTCTGACCCGACTCGTCGAGTGCACTCATACAACTCGTCGAGTCCACTCACATCCTCAGAAGTCTCGTGAAGGTCCAGCTCAGCTCGTCGAGTTGACCCCCAACTCGTCGAGCTATCGCATGCTCAAGCTCATCGGGACAAACCCTCACTGACTCGTCGAGTCAACTCATGGACTCGACGAGTCCCCTCGGTCTGATTCCTCATTCAGACGTCCAAAGTCAGATCTCTCATTCCAAACCCTAGATCTAGCCCTTTAAGACACCAGAGACACATAAAGTCTCGACCTTTACGTTCATGCATGGCATAAATGCCTCAAAATGCCAAAACAAGCCCTTCTTAAGGTGTTAAGCACAACAACCCTCATTTGGATGAATAAAGTTGGGACCTTTGGACTCTAGGGACCTCACAAGGTCCAGATCTGAGGACTAGGCTTCTAGCTAATCCATTTTACTCAAAGTCCCAAACCAAAGGTGGTAAAAGCCCTAGAACTCCAAACACATGAGATCTAACCAAAATAATGAGAAAGGTGCAGACTTTTACCTTCCTCGGAAGCTCTGGACGATCTATCACTGGATCCAACTTTCCCCCTCTTGATCCTTGCTTGATCTCCTTATCTTCTTCTCAAATGATGCACTAAAAATCCCAAGATACCTTCTCTCTCACTTTCTAGCTCAAATGACCTTTAGGGTTTGCTTCCAAGGAAAGGGTGGCCGCAAATGAGGCTATAAGTGCCTTTAAATAGGTCCCAAACCCCGGAAATTAGGGTTTCTCTAATCAGCGCCTACTCGGCGAGTCCCTCCTCTGACTCGTCGAGTCCACTCATTAAGTCCACGGGAAAAACCCGGCTCGACTCGGCGAGTTGGACCCTCAACTCGTCGAGTCTCTTCTTTAATCACAAGATCAAACTACACGATAATATCCCTGAACATCCGGATGTTACATCTCACCCATGGAAACAAAATTACTCTTGATGTAGGATGTACCAGGTACCACCTCCTTCTTCATCTAAAATTACCCTTGATGATTACCGGGTCTGCATACCGATTTTTCCAGTTATTCATCTAAAATCAATTTTGACAAAGCGAGTTCATCTAGTTCTTCATCTTATTTCTTCAATTTTGAATATACTAGTTATTGAACTTCAATTTATTTAACACATCTGCAGATATAGATAGATACCCACAAAATACACACTGAAGATGTATAAAATGTAAGCCGATTCAACGCCTAGATTCAACTGAAGGGGAGAGGGCTGTGATTTTAAAAGGGTTTGAAATGGGCTGCGTTTGATTGTGAAGGTTGAGAGAAAAAAAGATGTTTGGCGTGATGTTTTCCTAAAAGATGATGAAGGTTTATAAAGGAAGGAGATGTGGGTCTAGTACTCTAGTGTAATGAAGTCACGTAGCATTCAGGTGGCCATGGTAACCGGATATTATGAGGCAAACCTGTTAAAAGTTTTAAATGAAAAAGTCAGTGCAAAATACGAGGTTTAAATTGACATAAAAATCACCAAGGGTAAAACCGACAAAAACTTGTAAACTTGAGGGTTTTTATGACATTTTCCCTTATTAAGTGCCTTACAACTAGTATAAGTGAAATGAAATGTTTCCAAGCACTAATATGAGTAACTATTGAATACATGTTTGTATTAAGACTAATGATGATTTTTATTAAATAGAGTATGATAATGATGGTTTTTATGAAATGAAAATGACAATGACTATTATAAAATGAAGTGTGGATATGATGTCTATAAAACTTGTTCGCTACATGGAATATTATATATATATATATATATATATATATATATATATATATATATATATATCTTTGTGTGCATTCACAAAAATAATATATTTTAAAGAGTATATGTTTATGACTAAATGACTATGATAATTTACAAATTATTTCCTTCATGAAATTATGCATTCATGTTAGGATGGGTATGACCTAAGTTGTCCAACCACAAAATCCATGGTAAATGACAACAAGGATAACGAATGACCAAAAGTGCCAAATAACTAGGTGTTGATACTTTAGTCAATGTCACACTTGCATGTAAGACTAGCTACCTTATATGTGGATTTTATGAATGGTCATTTGATCCTAGTTGTGACTTATGAGCTCCACTTTGTGTATTGTTTGGCACAAATGACTTCCTTACATGTAATGTTTAGCATATGTCATATGTCCCTATGGATGTTATGTAGTGACTCTAAGGCATGAGGAATAGCCTTATGTTTGTGACAGATGACTAGTCAGTACGTGAAAACTGGTTCGGAAACCTTTATTAGGGAAATTCCATTTCTAAAGAAAACCTTACAAGTTGTATCATGTCTTATAAGTTGTACAATAATGAAACATTATCACTCATCATAACATGCCAAAATCACATGCAACTAAAAAAAGCTAGCATTATCTCAATAACTTATTGATATTACAAAGTATATTTTTAAATTGAACCTATTTTTTCTTATCCCCATACGATAAAAAGATCAAAACTAGTTTAGTACTCTAACTTGGTATCAAAGACATTAGCCTCTACAAGTTGTAGCATGGCCATTTTAGCATCTGAGAATGCAACTTTCTACTTGAAAGTTTCAATCTTGCATGCCATACACTTATACAAATGAAAATCTAACAATATATCATCGACTAATGAATTAAATATTTCATACTCCAACTCCATACCTACATTTTCTTTCTCCACTTCATTGTCATACTTTGACCAATTTACCCCTTTCTCGATTTCTCTTATGCATGTTTCTTTACTCTTCTTAGATTCCCAGTCAAAAACAATCTCTTGTACTTGTCCATCCATCCAATCTTTTGTCTTCTTCAATATTTCATAATTAGAGACACTTTGCTCAATCATTTTCTCTTTAAAGAACTCTAACAATAGGCATTCCATAATTTCATATTTGAATAAATCAAGGGAAGAAATCGTTGATTTCATTAGTTGAAGTAATGCCAATGCTTTCTTTTCTTGGTGGTTCTCTTCTTGATCTACCTCATAAAGGGTTTTTGTTGACGACTCAATATCGAATTGAGTAATGCGGTCCTCTAATTTAATAGGCTCAAGTTGAAGAACACCCTCAAATCTTCGAGTCTTGTACATTATCTTTTTTGTTCCTGTAAAATAACAAGATATTGTCTTTATATGTTATGTTTCCAAGAAAACAAGATCAAAAAGAGCAAGGACAACCTTCAACATCAATGTGTGTATGTTGGAACATAGAAGAAACCTCTTCTTCATCATCAACATCATTATCGTTGTTGCTTGGAAAATCCATCACAGAAACAGGACTAAATTGTTCATCTTGTTGGTTTTGCCACTTCTTGTATTGATTGTCATCGCCAACAAACTGAAATCGGACATAATAAAATTATAATATATTTGCATATACCTAAGCAATTAGAACTAGTTCCAAGATTACTTAAGGACTCTCTCTCTCTCTCTCTCTCTCTCTCTCTCTCTCTCTCTCTCTCTCTCTCTCTCTCTCTTTTCTAAAGTTATTTCTCTTAATTGTAAATTATTTTTCGTTACACACGAATGTTAATTGTGAAGTCAACGCTTCGTGGTCGACATAGAACGTTAAAAGAAACGTGTACGAATTTATAAAAATGCCCTCCATCTAATTCAATGACCATACCAAACCCATTATCGGTGCTCACTGGGGTAGGGGTCCAAAAGAGGACGAGGGTCTCATGGTAATTAAGTAATCATTTATTACTATATTCAACCCAATCCTCTACAACTGCATGTATCACGAGCTTAAAGCCTTAAACTGCTACATCAATTTTCAACGGCGAGGATTCCGCCACGAGATTCCACGTAAGCGCAATCTACGGCCATGAGACAGTAATCGAAGACTACGTAACACACGTGAGTTCATAAATAAAAATTTAATAAATTCTTCACATCCTCATTTCTCGCTGTAAAAATTTAATGCCTCTATCTTCCTCATGTTAATAAATTACAATAATTCAAAATTTGAATTTTTCATCTCGATTTTCAAATCCTTTTTTAACAATATTTTTATTTTAACGAAAATATAAACAGTGAAAAAAAACTTTTTTCATTATGATAATGTTCAAATTTAGGTGGGAATTTAAAGAATTTTGAGTAAAGTACGAGAGCAATCAAAGGTGGGGGACAAATATCTTGACAATGTTATTGTGGGTGCGAAGCATTGAATTATGTCTTACCTTTGCATCATCGGAAGTAGGAGACCAGTTGGTGGCGGTGTCGGCGGTTGCGCCAACTATTTTACCATTTGTCGAATTCTTGATCTCCGGTGAAGCGTCTATGACTTTTTTCTGAGCTAAGTTAACCTCCGAAGAGTTACCGGTGGTGGTAGTAAAGTCGCTGTCGGACCAACTGTTACTGTAGTTGCTCGTTGAGCTGTTCAGCTCCGCCGTGGTGATGGCGGTTGAGAATTGCGACGGAGACGGAGGCTGAGTAGGAGTTTCCTTCTCTTTGATGAAATCGCCGAACGATTTCAACCGTTTGATCTCCTTGTTAGGATGATCGGTTTTCTTCCAGAGCCCATGTTTCAGGAGCTTCCGAGAGAAACTCCTCGGGAGAAAGTTAGCCATCGTGGGATTCCCGGCGCCGGAAAACTGGAAATGTTTGAATGCCTTGATCATTGCAGCAGAAGCTCTTTGTAACACCGACAATTGTTTCTGTTTCGGTTTTGATTTTGATTTCCATTTTGTTTTGATTTCCGGGATCGACCGTCGCTGCTGCTCTAGAGGCAGCTTACCGTTGTTGTTAAGATCCATTTCCACAAGGAATCGAACGGTGGTGCAACATTGACGGCGAGGATACGACCGGAAGCCGTTTGATGAACACGAGCTCATATCATCGAGTAAATAATCCCTGAGTAAGAGAGATTTTGGCAGTGCCTTCTTGATCATCCTTGAATCATGAGAAAACGATGCTCTGGAAGACATTGAAATGGTGAAATAGAATTAGACTGAGTTTGAATTAGGGTTTCTAATATAGAGAATCAAAGTGGGGAGAGTGAGAGTGAAATATGAAGGAGAGAGAAAGAGAGGGGTAGCTTCTGATTGAAGATCTCAAGGTGAGAGAGAAAATGTAAGTGAAGCAGTAGAAACAATGACAATGGAGGGAGAGGTTAATGGAGACTGGTTGGATGCTTCGTATCTTCAAAACAGGGGGGATGGCTTCTTAATTGAATCTTAAGTTATGATTATTTTAATATTTAGGTTTTATAATTTTTTGTCAAACTATTAGCAAAATATGTTTAAAAAACCAACAAAGATAACATAAAACCATTTGCAAACCATATTAAATAAAATAGTTTTTGCAGATATATTAAAGAGTAAATTACGAAAAATAGTCTATGTGGTTCGGTCTAATTTTTGAAAAATTGATTGGTTACACGGTTATAGTTTCAATAAACTATACCAACAACATCGTCCATGATCTACTATTAAATCAATGTAAAATGATCAATTTTTTTTTTGACAGGGAACTTCCCTAACGAGGGTTTCCGGCGCACCGACTAATCCCCCGCTGCAAACATGAGGCTTTGCCTCATGCCCTGGAGTCACTGCAGACGAACATTCATGACCACAAGGGCTGAGTAGTGTTAGGATTTGAACATGGGTCAATAGGTTATCCACCATATCTTCCAGATGCTTTATCAAGTCACCATAACCCAAGTGGTTTCAAATTATTTTTCTATCAACTTTTTATTAAATCAGTATAAAATGACCATTTTTTCTATTTTTTTTTATATTTATAGATATAAAGAGGCACTCCATTACCCTAAACAACCACCACCACCAAAACTATTGTGTACCACCACAATATTCAAATACGTAGCTTAAAATAAAAAACAATCAAAATATTTAACATAATAAAATCAAGAATTAGAAATTAAGAACTCAAGCATTTAAGAATTCCTAATAAACCATGATGATTTGGAGATAAGATTAAAATCCACATGTAACACCCGTTTTCCTATGCATGAAAGCTAAGAATTTGAAAAAAATCAAATGAAGGATTTTTGGGAAAAACTGAGTGTCACGACGTGGAGGATGGATGGCCACGATGTGGCATGGATGATACAAAACACATGTTTTGGATGGCCGTACGGGATGACAATAAGAATGCCACATCATGGCAGTTGGTGCAACCCAAGCCTACAAAGTTTTAGAGTTTCCTTCATATTTAAACTCATAATATCAAGATTAGGGGATCTTTTCCAGCCTCCAACCCTTCACCAATGAAACCCTAGCCTCCATGCATGATTGAGAGCTTGTTCTCTTGATTTGAAGCTTATTCCTTGAGTTTTGGTGGATTTTGCAAAGAAGGAAGTTTGCAAAGAAGCAACGAAGCAAGAAGCAAGTTTGGATCCAACATTCTCTTTAGTTTTTTTGAGTTGTTAAAGGTATAAAGTTAATACCTTGACACCTCTTCTTCTAGATTCAAGTTCTAGATCATATTTAGGTAGTTTTGGTCCCTTCCTTGGATGTTCTTGGAGTTTGAAGAACTCCAGAACTTGTTGTGGCTTTCTTAGGTCCTTGGACTTCTGTTGATTGAGAAAAAGGACAATGTTTGGTGTATTTTGTGTTCATGCTCAAGTTATGGCCTCATTAAGGACTTAATGAACTTATAGTTGTAGATCTTGGATTGTAATGCAGCCTTAATGGATAAAGTTGGAAACTTTATCCATTAAGTCATTGAAAAAGAGTAGATTTGAAATTTTGGGTTCAGATCTATAAGGATTAAGCACTTTAGGAAGTTTTTAGCATTCTGCCAATTCCCAAGGTATAGCCAAGGGATGGCCACGACGTTACCAGGTCCCGTTTCGCATTATGTTGTTCAAGCATTTTCACGGCGTGGCCAAGAGGTGGCCACGACATGGCAAAGCTCTGTAAGTCAACTGTGTTGTCCCAGATGCCCACGACATGGCAGAAGGAGCTCTACATCGTGGCGAGTGTTAACTCATTGACTGTTGACTTTTGACTAGTTTAAATTTTGGTTAAATTTGGAGAAATTAAGTTGTTGATTAAGGTTTGTCTTTTCCTGGTGGTTAGTCGGTCGGATCAGCGAGAGGAGTTGAAGCGTTGCTGTGTCGTTTCAGGTCTTTGTTTCAGGTGAGTTTCCTTACTATTCACGTGGGTCGAAGGCACTAATGTTGGCCCAATATATTGTATCATGTATCCTTGCATGTTACAGTATATATACTTGTGTGTTAAGATGTTGGAGTAATGATATGATGGTTAGAGTACCAGTAGGATGGTTATCATCTAGTGGAGTTCCCTAGGGACTGTATGTAGTCATTTAAGATAGCCTGAGAACTCTTGATCTAGGCTTTCTTGCCGGTTCATTGTTTGGTTGTGGCTCTAGAGTAGGATCACCTATTCGGATGTCTATCTCACCTCTGGTTATGTATAGTTATGCATTCCTTGGAGATTTTTCGGTAGTAGCATAGTGTGTTGTGAGAGGCCTAGAACGTGATAGTGAGATGTTAGATAGGTAGACTTGTAACATCCCCAAAAATTCAAATAAAATTTTCATTTTTAAATTCATTCCAATCGTACGATAATCACATCAAATAGTTGAAAGTATATTATAGGGAAAATATTATCAGAGTACAAAATCCCAAAATCACGAGATGCGCAAAAACATAGGTGGATGCAGTGTGATCAGACCAGACCCTTCCCTTTCAAGCTGGAAGTACCTGAAACATAAACTTAAAACCGTAAGCACAAAGCTTATTGAGTTTCCCCCAAAATACCCCATACCATACATATATATAACAATCAAAAACATATTGGGTCTATTCCACCCCTTCAGAATCTTTCACAAGTAATAAAACCCTAATTATAAATTAGGTCAATAACCCATCATGAGATTCCAAACCCTAAATCCTGTCTTTAAGGGAAAACGACTACTTAATCCTTTCCCTATTAGGCCTAACCCACCAAGGCTCAAATACACTTAGTCCCAAAGCTTAAAAGACATTCCAAGTCTAACTAAAAAGGATCCTAAGGCCCAACATGGGCCCCAAGAGCTCCATGATAGCCTAAAGCCTACAAAATGAACTGATACCACAAATAGGCCTAAGGACCAAACTCAATCAAGGCAAAAAGCCCAACTAATCCCGAGCCCAAAACTCCAAATGCCCATAGAAGGATGTACGCGAAACGTACCTGGCTCGTACGCTCAACGTACGTTGCTTGATCTGGAGTCGGGGCACTGACCCAGTATGTGCATCGTACTCAGGAGTACGCCTGACGTATTGGTTGGATAGCCAAACTTCTCCAAATGTCTTAACCCATTAAGCTTTTGACGTCCAAATTCAGATCCAATGTCATTAAAGTGTATTAAGCCATAAAGTTGCAAACTTTATGCTTTTGCATGTCTTAAAAGGGTCAAATCTTGGACTTTATTACACTAACTTCATGAAACCACCTTCAACCCTTGTATGGTTGAACTTAACCCGTCAAGACTCCATTTTTATGCATAGGGGAAACTAGATACCTTAGGATCTATCATTATAACCTTCTGGAGTAGCTCATACTCTCAAGAAACAATTTAAGGACCATTTTATGAAGAAATAAGCCCTAAACTAGAACTAACACATGGAGTCATCAAGGTAGTAGCTTTTTACCTCTAACAAGCTTGAATGGTGAATAACTTCTGGATCTACAAGCTTCCTCTTGTCCAATGCTTCTCCATTAGTCTTCTTCTTCTTCACTAAGCACCATACATACCCAAAACGCACACATAAGCTCAATCTCTTTGGAAAATGGATTAGGGTTTCGAGGTTAGCTCAAAGAGGCAATGGAGGCTGAGTAGGTGAAAGACTTGAGGGGCTTAATGAGCTTAAATAGGGTGCAAACCCTAAAAATTATTGTTTGTCCGTAGCTTGCATACGCATGGGTACGCCCAACATACGTAGAGGACACCCCGCTTTGTGCATGCATAGGAGTATGTCGTGCGTACCTTGTGTACGCCCAGCGTACTCGAGTCCAGTCTAAAGATAATCAATAATTAGTGAACGTTTTTACATGGCGACTCGGGCGCTACAATTCTCCCCCCACTTGAATCAGATTTCGTCCTCGAAGTCCGAAACCACAAATAACCCTGGGTAATGCTCCCTCATCTTTTCTTCAGGCTCCCATGTCCACTCAGAACCCTTCCGGTGCTGCCATTACACCTTTACCAAACCCAGAACCTTGTTCCTCAAGGTTTTCGTCTTCCGGTCAAGGATCGTCACCGGTCTCTCAATGTAGTTCAGGTGGTCATCCACCTGAATATCCTCCAACGGAACCACCACAGAATCATCAACCAAACACTTTCACAACTGAGAGATGTGGAAAGTAGTGTGAATCTGACTGAGCTCCTCTAGGAGATCCAAACGGTACGCCACCCTGCCCACTCGGGCTACAACCCTGAAAGGACCAATATACCTGGGGCCTAGCTTACCCCGCTTCCTGAACCGGAGGACACTTTTCCAAGGTGACACCTTCAGGAGTACCATATCCCTGACCTGGAACTTCAAGTCTGATCGGCGTTTGTCTGCGTAGCTTTTCTGCCGACTATACACTGTCTGAAGTGTACCACGAACTTGGTGAATCATCTCGGTCGTCTTGAGTACCACCTCGGTACTCCCCATGACTCATTGACCGAACTCACCCTAAAATATCGGAGTCCTACACTTCCTACCATAGAGCATCTCAAAAGGAGGTCGATCAATGCTGGCGTGATAACTGTTGTTATATGAAAATTACGCTAACGGAAGATACGTACCCCAACTACCGCCAAAATCTAGAATGCATGCCCGCAACATATTCCTCCAATGTTTGGATGGTCCGATCACTCTGACCATCCGTCTGCAGGTGAAAAGTCGTCTTGAAGTGCATACGAGTACCCAAATCCTCGTGAAATCTCTTCCAGAACCTGGAAGTGAACCGAACATCCCTATCCGAGACCACAGAAACCGACACCCCATGGCGTGCCACAACCTCCCGAATGTAGATGTCTGCTAACTCCTCCGCAGAGATACTCTCCTAGATCGGGATAAAATGCGCGATCTTGGTCAATCGATCCACGATAACCCATATCGAATCCACTCTGCGCGCCGTCCGAGGCAATTTAGTGATAAAATCCATCGAAATCTCTTCCCATTTCCAAACGGGAA